TTCAATGCTCTCTTACCCTTTGGAAACTTCATTAAATCAAAGGTATTATTATCACTAAGTGGTTTCATTTTCTCTTCGATGGCATCCATTCACTCTTTTTTGTTCTCATCCTCTAAAACTTCTTTAAAGCTTTTGGGTTCTCCACTATCAGTAAGAAAAACATACTCATTTGAAGGGTATTGAACGGAAGGCCTTTTATCAGGAATAGACAACCTAAACTCATTAGAAGCAACTGGTTTCTCAACACTTTCAACCTCTTGATCAACCTAATTTTTAACCTTATCTTATGTAGCACCTACATTAACAATGTCATTAAGATTTAAAACATTATCAACATTCAAATCCATACCTTGATTTACAATTGGAACATCTTCAAAAGTGATAGGGGTATGAGCAATAGTAGTTGAGGTTGTATCAACCATTTCTTCATGCTCAAAACTCGGATCTTTATTCTCAACTTTGTCTATGTCATCAATGGTATAATCCTCCATGAATACGACATCATGACTACGAATAAGTTTCTGTTGAATTGGATCAAAGAATTGATACCCAAACTCATCAAGTACATACCCAACAAACACACATTTCTTCGACTTCTCATCCCGTTTCGATCTATCATCCTTCAGAATATGCCATAAGCCATGCATTCAAACACCCAAAGATGGTTGTAGTTAACATCTTTACCACTCCAAACATGATTTGGAACATCAAACTTCAATGGAACACATGCAGTGAGGTTTAAAAGATATACAACTGTGCTTAATTCTTCTCCCTAAAAGTATTTTGGCAACTATGATTTAGAAACTAAACATCTCACCCTTTCCACCAAAGTTTTATTCATTCTTCCGGCTAACCCATTCAATTGTGGTGTCTTTGGAGGTTACTTTTGATGACGTATACCTTGATCTTGACAGTACTTGTCAAAAGGTCCAACATACTCTACCCTATTATCGGTTCAGATACACTTGAGCTTCTTCCCTGTTTCTCTTTCAACTGATGCTTGAAACGACTTGAAGGTATCTAACACTTGATCTTTCGTCTTCAAGGTATAATCACATGTTTAAATAGAACAATCATTAATGAAAGTCAAAAATTAATATTCACCACCAAGTGACCATGTCTTTATTGGACCGCACACATTAGAATATACTCAATCCAACATTTCTGATTTCCTCTTTGGTTCATATGACATAAAGGAAACTCGCCTTTGCTTACCCGCTAAACAATGCAAACACTTTCTCAACTTTGCATCAGAAACACCATACAACACATTCTTCTTTGCCAAAATGCTCAAACCTTTTTCACTCATATGACCCAAACGTTTGTGCTATAATTCAGATTAGCTATCATTATCACAAGTGTTGATGTAGCACTTCGAAACCCAAGTTAACATACAAGTTTGGGTTCCTTTTTCCTTTAGCAACCACCATTAAGCCTTTATTTAACTTCCATTATTTTCCCGAAAAAGAATTATAAATATCCTTCATTATCCAACTTTCCAACGGATAAAAGATTGAGTCGAAGTTCAGAAATGTGTTTCACACTTTTGAGAACAAGAGAAGTCCCATTGCTAGTTTCGACACAAATATCTCTCATTCCGTTTACATTAGCTTGCCCATTATTTCCAATGCGTATAACACTAAAGTCATCAATCTCGTAAGTCGAAAAAAGATTATGTCTCGAGGTTGCATGAGAAGAAGCACCAATATCAACCACCCAATGCATCTCATCACATAATAGATTGACATTCTCAACAAATTTATCACAAACAATAAAGAATTCATCAACAATAGAAAATATGCATTATTGTTATATTCCTTTTTGTCGATATTGTAGCTCTTCTTCTTGTTTTCCCTTTTCAACTTACGACAATACCTCTTTATGGATCCCTTTTCCCCATAATTATAACACTAAATATGAGAAAATCTATTAGAGCCTCCTTGTGATTTATCACGTGAAGTTTCACGATTACTTGAAGCTCTACTTTGATGTCTCCCCCTTGATTATGTAACTAACACCTCAGAATCTGAAGAAGAACCTTGTGACTTACGCCTCAACTCCTCATTCAACACACTACTTTTAGCCAAGTTCATCGAGACAATACCATTCGGAGCGGAGTTAGACAATTATGTAATAAAAGTCTTCCAAGAATTAGACAAAGTACCAAAAAGCCACAAACCTTGGAAAGTGTTTAAGTGATTGGTCATTGGTGAAACATCACTATACCTCAATGACATCAATTGCTTGTACAAGAATAACTTATTGTTCCCCGTATTTATTGCATACAACTCCTCAAGTTTGGTCCAAAGAGAGCGAGCATGAGTCATCGAGCTCACATGATTCAAAATATTATCATCCACTAATTAACTAATATAACCACAAACTTGTTTATGTGACAAAGTCCAGTCTTCATCACTCTTTCCATCGGGTTTTTCCTTAGAGAAAACTGACAAGTGAAAACCTTTCACATAAAGAAAATCTTCCATTTCCCTTTCTAAACATTATAATTGGAACCATTCAAACTCACCATCCTAGATGTGCTCGTCTCCATTGTTACACAAATCAAACCACGACTCTAGATACCACTTGTTTGGAGGAAATCACAAACACAACGGAATAAACCAACAAGATAATCTCTCCTAAATATCAAATGCAGCTTATAGACAATTAACAAAAACACACCAAACAACACAACACAATTTTATCGTGGAAAAACCTCTTTTAATTAGGACTAAAAAACCACAGGACCCGTAGGTCACATAAAATCTCAATTATAATCAACAATGAGTACAAGCAAGGTTCTCTCTAACACTAGTTAGAGGCATACATAAACACCATCAAGATTTGCAATCAATCTCGGAATACAACAATAATCAAGAGAGACAAAACAACTCAAAAACACCAAGAAATTCAGACCTCAAAGACGGATTCGATAGAAGGACTTAAAAAGCCTCGAATCTAATCTCCACCACTCAGAATAAGCTCATATGTTAAAATTTCAGAATGATCCAACCATTAGATTTTGCGCAATCTCATATTTTTTGGGACTGACTTGTGCAAAATTAGGGCCGCAGAAATGGGTTTTTCTCTCTAGTTTTTCTTGTTGTTTTTCTTAGACAATGAATGAATAACCTAACCCTCTTTATTGGGTAATAACAAAGGCAATAACATACATAGACTACTAACTTACATCCATTTGAGCCTCTTCAAATAGGAGGGATAAGCTAACATCAAATTCTACCCAATTCTATGTTGCATCATCGTAATATGAGTTCTTGCTTTGGAAGATGAGTCGTTGTTTCATTGTATTGATGATTTTCGTGACTCAAAGAATCTCTAGCAGGATCTTGGTTTTACCAATGAAGATTTCTTCACAACTTAAGTAGGCATCTAGTAGTTGAAAATAACATGTTTAATGTTGGTTGCAACCTTTTAGCTATGAGATTTTTATGGGTCTAAAGAAATACAAATTTCATATGCATTTCCCATGATCAATGTCATGATTTTAAATTGTGGTTGCAGATGCAGTTGCGATTGTTGTGATTGTGGCTATTGTCGTTGTTAGGATGGGCATTGCGGTCGTAGCAATGTAAATTTGTATAGATAAGTGTTTAAAATTCAATGTTAAAAAAAATTTATTGTTAACTTGTTTCATTAAAATTAAGTTTTAGGAGTCTAATATTTTGATTTTCGATGAAAATATTTGAAGAAACATAATTGAAATTGTCTTATGTGGTTTATAATACAATCAGAGACGTAATTCTAAAATCACACTGCAATTGCAGTTTGATATGGTTGCGGAGGCAACTTCATCCCCAATTTTTACGAGTGCATATCGCAATTTAAAACCATGATTAACACTTTCATTGATTACTTGCAACATAGAAAACCCATTTCTCTCTTGCTTCAACAAACCTCATCACGAACACACCAACGAAATTATCAACAGATGAAACTTCCTCAATTTCCTTTTCACTGTCATAAATATTAATGGAAGTTTCCTCGAACTACAACAAAATTTTAGGAAATTATTTGTTCCTTTGGTGATTGGCGGAAAGGCATTTTCTAACTACATTTGTTGCTTTTCCAACATCCTAAAGGCAGAGTGCTTTATGATATTCATATGGGCCTTTAAGTTGGAGAGGACATGTGAATCAGGGAATTAGTTTTTGTAACCAAATCTCATCAATTTACTTAGTGTCAGGGTGCAATAAATATCCGAGTGATTGAATATTTGAAATTCAATGAAATTGTCGTTGAAATTTATTTTTAAAAGAAAAACATTAATAAAATTCTAAAAGATTAAAAATATGATCTTCACCATTCACTACCAAATTCAAATTCAAAAGTCTATTATGTATAAAAAAGATATTAACACCTAGTGATATCCGTTGTATTCAAAAGAATCGTTTAATCAATTTTTTCAATAAGAGTATAGTTTAACGTATTTTTAATTTCGTCTAATCATTACGACATTTAAAAAGAAAATAAAGAGGAAAATTAAGTTTTTAATTATGATGCTTGATGAGACGATGGATTAAAAATAAAAAATATTATCTTAAATTCAATACCTCATTGAATTAAAAATAGATAATATTTAAGCTAATTTAACTAAATACCATCTTAAATCTAATACCTCACATTTCAAATATATGATTACTTCATTAGAAAGAAACTATGAAGAATAAATGATTTATTAGTTCTTTTTAGACGACTTTTCTTTTGGCTTACTATTTATATTAATTGAAAACTTTGTTTTGTATATTTGTATTAAGTACTATTCAACCGTGCAAGATGATAATTTTCCTAGAGTGAGGGGTCCATGAAAATAACCTCTCACCTTGCTCATTAGTCAAATGAATTGACTTGCTAAATTTTATTTAAGCAAAGTGGTCTACGTCTCCACTATATTCACACATAAATTTATTATTATATACTATAGTTTCTTACTATGACTTTTGATATCATTCTATTGTTGATACTAATTTGTTAGAGAAGACATGGGTACTCTTCTTCCAAGCTCAATAGAAGAGCATGAAAAATCAGAGAAGCAAAATATATCTATACGAATTCAACAAAAAGATGTTGATGCAGGTGCTCTCTTTGTCCTCAAATCAAAAGGTATTATCGCTCCTAATTCATTAGTCATCATTTTATAATTTTAGCAGTCGACTTTGTGTATGTTTGATTTCACGATATAAACATTTAAATTTGATTTCTGATATTCGAAATTTATTTTGATATTTTAGTTACTCTCGATTAAAATGAATTATATTTTTCAATAGACAACATAAGAGATGCATATTAATATAATTTTACATTGACAATTGATATCGTGTATAGTTCGTCAAATTACGAATATAACTTTTAATTATTACTTACATAATATGAAATATTTATGATTTTTTTATTGAACAACACTATGTGAAAATGAAATATATTTCGCAAAGTTTTTAAGACAAAGTTTTTGTTGCCTACCTTTCTTGAATAATGGTGCAAATGGTGGTTAACAATGATACAAATATACATAGTTCACACTATATAATATATTATATTTTGTGTGATTCATAGGTACTATGCTTGTTTTAGTCATGGCATATTCGAATTAAATACTTTAACCAACCAGTCAACATTTTAGTCATTCTGTTATATTAATTAAAAAAAAATTTTTAAAAAAAGTATCTTATATTATTTTTATATATTAGTGCAAATGTTTATTTTTTAAAAATATATTATAAATCAATCATTTATTTATTTTGAAAGGTGGATAGGATAACTCAAATCATGTGTTAGTTGAGAAAATAAATGAAAAATATTGGTTTAGACTTCAACCTCTAACAACAATATTTATTTATATTTATATATTAATATAAATAAATTTTTTATATTTATAAATTAATATCTTATTTTAAAAAAATTATTTATTTATTTTGATATACATACATAGTCTTAATTTTTCTGTAACTATATTCTCTAATATTTTATAGGTTCATGGGTACATTGTGGTTACCACTTAACAACATCAATTGTGGCAGCACCACTTCTGAGTCTTCCTTATGCTTTCACATTCCTTGGATGGACTGCTGGAATATTTTTCTTAGTAATTGCAGCTATGGTTACTTTCTATTCCTACAATTTACTATCTTTGGTTCTTGAACACCAAGCTAATTTGGGTAATCGTCAGCTTCGATTTCGAGACATGGCTCGCGATATTTTAGGTATCATGCACTCACACACCATCTCGTATATTTTCTCCATTCCAAATTATATGACGTTCTAATAGTGCTAGCTATATTCGAGTTAATGTGAAACTATGTTCGACAGGTCCTAAGTGGGGTCGTTACTTTGTGGGGCCGATTCAATTTGCATTATGCTATGGGGTCGTAGTTGCTTGTATTCTTCTTGGCGGTCAATGCATGAAGGTAATTTTCAATTTCTCTCTGATCGCGTAAAAACTTTTATGATTTCTTCTGATACATATCTTATATTACATATTACAGTTGTTGCAGTGTGAATTACTCATAACATTACATAATACAGTTTGATTATAATTTCAATGTAACATAAAATTTTAGTTCACAAAGAATTTTTTTTTATGTCCACAGGCAATTTATGTCTTATCAAATCCAAATGGGTCAATGAAGCTTTACGAGTTTGTCATAATATTTGGTTGCTTCATGTTGATTTTGGCTCAAATCCCATCTTTTCACTCATTGAGACACATTAATCTTGTCTCTTTAGTTCTCTGCTTACTCTATAGTGCTTGTGCTGCTGCTGGTTCTATATATATTGGTATTTATTTTCATTTTTATGCTACCTTGGTGATTCAAATATAATATTTTGGTCTAATCTTAACCAACATTACTATAGGAAATTCATCAAAAGGACCAGAAAAGAATTATACTTTGAAAGGTGATACAGAAAATCGAGTATTCGGAATCTTCAATGCTCTCAGCATCATTGCCACTACCTATGGAAATGGAATCATTCCTGAAATTCAGGCTACGTTAGCTCCACCAGTTAAAGGAAAGATGTTCAAGGGATTAAGTGTTTGTTATACTATAGTAATTGTCACTTTCTTTACTGTTACTATATCTGGTTATTGGGCGTTTGGCAATGAATCTCAAGGTCTTATCTTAAGCAACTTTGTGGATAATGGGAAACCATTATTGCCCAAATGGTTTGTTTACATGAGCAATGTTTTTACTATAGCACAATTATCTGCTGTTGGTGCGGTAAGTAACTAATACATTAATACATTAATGTTCTCATCATTTAGTAATGATTTATGTAACACGAACACTTCTGATTCTGATGGAAGATGTATTTAATGTCAGGTATGTGTTAGTGTCTAACATATGTTAGTATCTAACACATGACACTTCTTATGATAAAAAGGTGTATGTCTGACATATTTCACTATGTTTGACATATGTTAATATCAGATACTCCTTCTGATAAAAGTTGTATTTAGTATCTGACATATGTTAGTATCTGATACGTGATACTTTTTTTTTGATAAAAGACATATTTAGTATTTGTTATGTGGTAGTGTCTGTCACGTGACATTTCTAGTGATGAACAGCATATTCAATGTCTCTCTATCAACCTTAAAGACTAAATTTGTTGAATTTCAATGCAGGTGTACTTACAACCTACAAATGAAGTATTAGAGCAAATATTTGGAGATCCAAAAAGTCCAGAGTTCTCGACCCGCAATGTTATCCCTCGAGTGATTTCTCGATCATTGGCAATTACTATAGCAACCGTTATAGCAGCCATGCTTCCATTTTTTGGGGACATAAACTCACTTATTGGAGCTTTTGGATTTATGCCACTTGACTTTGTTTTACCTGTAATTTTCTATAATTTGACATTTAAGCCATCTAAGAGAAGTCCTATTTTTTGGTTGAATGTATCAATTGCTGTTGTTTTTTCTACATTGGGAGCTATAGCAGCAATTGCAGCTGTTAGACAGATAGTCCTTGATGCCAAAAATTATAAACTATTTGCTAATGTATGATCTTGTTAGTCCATCCTAAAAAGTTTTGCCTATTTTATAAATAATAAGTATATATCATATGTATCTCACATGATTTTCTATACTATTGTCTATTTATATTTATTATTAGTAATGATGGTTTTGTTTTCATTTTGGTGTTTGTGCATTTAATTTCTTCACTAATCTGATACACAGAGAGAGAGAGAGTTTTCGAAGTCTAGGGGTGCTAAAAGAAATAATCTAAGACAATTACCAAAAGTAACGCAAAAACACGAAAATTATTAAATAATTGATTATACAAAGGGAATAATTGATTAGATCAGATTTGAATTTGAAAATTAAAAATTTTCTATTGCTTATGTCATTGATAAGAGTGTGTGATCATCAATCAAATCAATTTTTGCTTAAATGTTCAACCACTATAATAGAGTATCTCTTGCAATAATCTATTATCCAATGGCTTTATAAGGTAATACTACTACAAAACATGCATACAACAAGGAAAAGTCACCACGGTTTAATAACGGTTGATGAGAACACCGTGGTGATACCATCAAGCTTTTGCGGGTTCGAATATCATCGCCCTCAAATAGTTTATTCTTTTTACGTTACTACAATTGTTTTGTAAAACCGTTTTTACACACTGATGCTTCTTTATGAATTTCATTATGCAAAAAATATATCATTACGGTTCATACTGATAACCATGATTTTATATATATATATATATATATATATATATATATATATATATATATATATATATATATATATATATATATATATATATATATAACACTCGGTATCCATTTTGCACTGAAAAAGAAACACGACGAAACAACCCTAACACCAACGTCGTCGTCATCATTGGAAAGGAAGACAACAACATTAACACAATATTGTCCTTTATGGTACGTAAAATATTTTCGAAATTGTTGTTGTTTAGTTTCGTTTCAATGTCGCATTTGAAGACAAACTCATCCAAAAGTGTTTCTATGTCTTCTTCTTTTGTAAAATCTCAATCTTGAAATTTGTGTGGTTGTGATGATCGTACAATTTCGTACCAATGTAAGAAGAGATAAAATAAAGGAAGACTTTTTTGGAGATGTACATTTTAGAGGAGTGATGATACATGTAATTTGTTCTTATGGGATGAAGACATGGGAGAAAAAGTTGGAAATGAAGTTAGAATTAGAAGTTGTGGAAGCTATGGGCTATTTGAAGGTTATGTATGAAGATTCAAAGAAGAACAAGAACAAGAATTTGGAAAACAAACTGAAATCAGAGAGATTTTATGAAAATTTGAAGATGTCGTGTTTTTTTATCTCCTTTATGTTTAATGTTTACTTGGTTGTGAAATGTAATAGTTGAAGTAGGGTTTGAATTGCGTTGTTGATATTGAAACTGCAGATACAGTGAACTTGACAGGAAGGTAACTATCTGAAGGTTTCTTACGAGTAAGTTCATCGCAAACTATTGAATTTTCAATTACAATTATCGTTCAAGTAGTTATTTGTTTGTTATTTCAACTTTTCAAAGATATGTGTATATTAATTAATAGATTTTGTAGTTGATATTTTAAGCTGATAGTTTACGTTGATAGTTTAAGTTGATAACCTTAAGAGGGTGAGAAAGACCTAGAGTTAAGAAAAAAGATTATAATTTCATTACATAAACTTTCATTTCATAAGGCCTTAATAATCATATCTAAATCCTATGGCCCAGAGAAAGTTTGACCAAGTATAATCTGATTCATCATTGTCATCAGAATTGAAAAAAATCATTTGACTTCTCACCCTTATTTTTATTATTCTTCTTGCTCTCCTCAGCCTGATACCTATTTTGGGTCTCAATAGTTCTTGATTCTAAGGAGGCTGAACATCTTCAGCATTGTTGGAAGCTTCAGCAGAAGTACCCATTTTTATTCTTCTTCGTCACTGATTTCTTTGGATGAAGTTCTTTTTGTGTTTTGGTTCAAAGAGTAATTCTGATTTTATATTGTTTCTTATGACTCTTCCTCTTCCCTGGTCCTTGAAAGTCTAAAAGCCAAAAGATTTCACGCATGTCAAGGTTGTTCATTATTGGTTATTTAATTCCTCGAGCTATTGAATGATTATATCTACTTGTCTTTTCATATATCTTTTTTCCTTCTTTGATATTCCTACTTACGTATAGTTTGATGTAGTACAATTTTTGATATCAAATTATAAATGGTGTATTGATGATTCTGGTATGATACGAATGAGATTTATTCATAAACAACATCATAATGGTTATTTGTCATAACTGTTGTTATAGGGCACGCGCTTTCCAGTTTACTACTACAGTCACTGGACCGTGATTGAAAGTAACACATATACAATCATACGCTACATAACAATGTTTGGACCTGTATAATTATATATCATTTCCAATCATTGTTAAAGGCCTTTTTCGTATAGTGTAATACTTTCCTCCTTTCTCTTCATTCCATCTTATCCATAATCAATGGTGTTGGACATGTGACTCCACACACAAGGGGTGGGTGGGGGTGTGAGTAGTGAGTTTAAAAAAACTTGGATTTAAAAAAAAAATTGGATTAAAATCAGAGTTTAAAAACATTTTTAGAAAAGGTTTATAATTAATCATTTAAAATAAAGTTTTATAAGATAAAGTGCACAAATTAAGAGTTTAAGGGAAAAGATAATAACACAACGAAATATACGGATTCGGTAAAAAAATGACTTAGTCATGTCCCCAATATTTGATTATGAGAGTATCCAATAAGCTCATGAGCTTTTAGTAGGTTAAACTGACGAACCCCCTTATACAAGGAGAATGAAGTTTATTGCTAACTTCCAACCAAACAACATAATGAGGAGTAAAGTGGTGTATCTTTATTCCAAACGACGGATCAAAGTGGTTAGTATCCTTTATACAAGAAACTTGGAGTGATTAGTCTTTAAGATTCCAAATAAAGATTTTATCACAGGCTAATCTTGAACCTTGTAGAGATTTTAATACCAACCTAAGCTCATAAACCTTACCTCGGTTTTATACTGGACTAACAAAGAACCTATGAGATTTTAGGATGGAATAATCTTGAACCATAACAAGATTTTTACATGAGCTTAGCTTTTAACCTAAACTTGGTTTATCATGGGCTAACCAGGAACCTACGAGATTTTAGCATGGGCTAATCGTGAACCTTTGAAAGATTTTGTATGAGTTGAACTTTCGAACCTAAATAGAGACTTAATCACAGAATCCCCAAACCAAGGCTTTTTTCAAGTTTAGCTTCAAACCCAAACAAATAATCTCTAAATGGATAAAAAATTTAACCAAGTTCAAAATAAAAATCCTTGGTGAACTAATAGATTTTAGAGTGCCATCTTTCCATATTGAGTGTGCCAACCGATTGGCTAATGGATCCAATTGATTGGTTATTCATGTCTCTCATAATTTTGCATGTTCATCATCAACGCTGAGATTTGATTTGCTTGGAACACAAGTTTGGCTTGGATTTTATTTGAAAATATGTGTGTTAAGCTCTTCCAATTGATTTCCATAATGTGTCAACTGATTGGGTTTACGTAGTTCAGCCTCCGTAGTGCATGTTGGTGCTTGTGCTTACACTTGAAAACACATCTCATGGGTTAGAGAAATTAGCTTATTTAGATGAGCAAAATCACTATTTTAAGGATTTAAACAAATTTATCCGATTAATTTAACCTTAAAATATTATATACCTTTTTCATCAAGAGATCTTGATAAACCCTTCCCTTAAAAGGAAACACCAATCATATTATGGTGTATCCATCTCTATACATTGTTTGATGCAAGAATTGGTATAAACAAAATGAATATGTCTATTACAGGAATATCCACTCAACTTATCACTAAGGATCATAAACATTGAGATATTCTCAAAATACTCGCTCTAATTGATATTTGTCATCATCGTACATTCTTGGATCAAAGACTTTATAAAATGTATACTTAGAAGTATACTATTACTTTGTATAACTCCATTGATAATCCTTTTTAAAGCTTCGACCTGCAAATCATATCTACAAAACACTAAGGTTTCACCTATGGTACCCATGTCTCCTTGGGTCCAGATGGGTTAGTTTTGGCAGAAGGTCTAGGATTATTTCGCTTAGACCTTTTTAATTTTTCAAAACAAAAAGGCTTTAAATGGACAACAATTTTGCAGAGTGTGCATTTAAAAATCAAACAATCATTTTTTAAAGGAAGACCTTTGACTTGATAAGATCAAGCCAAGCTTTTCTTTACCTTAAGTAAACTTGCCTAGGGTCTCACGTAAGTCAACTATTTCTTTTTCCAGGGAGACAAATGTTTACATTCTTCTCTTGGATTCTTGATCTTAGTTATTTCTATATTTGAAATTATGGCTATCAAATCTCGGATGTCCTACGAGATGTCGAGACATTGTATTTGACTTCACACACAATAACAAGATGTATAAACAAAAATAGCAGTGATGAAAGTAAACAACACATGATATGTTTACCCAATTCGGAACAACCTTCCTAATCTAGGGGCTACAAAGCCATGGATGAAATCAACTAGATAATTTTAATTTGTAGACCTTACAACAAACCTCTATTTTACACTACATGCACTTAATCACTACCCTTTGCTTAACTTCGACCTAAGACACACCTAGGTATGAGTACCTCCTCAAATCCATCTTCAATTACACTCAACAATTGGAGCAAACTCTAAACACAAGTAGAGAACAAAAATAACTGAAATCTATACTTCCAAAAAACGCAAGACTCAATTCTTAAAGCTTATGAGAATTGACATGCAATATGTTCAATGCTTAAAAGCTTCTGAACATCTAACAGGAAACTTACAGCCCAACAATAAGGATTCTAAAAACCTTAACACAAATACATCTGTAAGTTCCAACTAATACTAGGTATACACTAGTCTATTTATAACTTTATTCTAGACTAGGTTGGACTTCAAAACTGCAGCAGTGAGGCTGCAAAAAGTCTGCAAAAAGTCCTCCA